TGCTGTAAATGCTCATCATCCGCCAGGGCAAAAACAATAGATAGAGATAGGGATGGTCAGAAGAATGGGAAAGGGACGATGGCCAAACAGCAGAACGTCTCCCTGATTGATATTGTCGAGATGTCCGATGTGATGGGACGACCAAGATATAGGTCAAACATCGGACGCTTTATGCTGCGATGGATACTCGATATGAGTACAGATACATACATATATATATATATATATATACACATATATACAGAGTAGCGAGAAAAACCTGGAGATGACGATCAATTAGACACATTGTTTGAACAAACAAACCAGTCAATCTTTTTCTCTTAACTAAATGAACTGACACAAAACATTTGACATATAAAAATAATCTATCCGACTAAAGATGTTTTCTTTTTCGTGAAAGAAAAAATCTTCACTCTTTTATTACATACTATTCTTTTTCTTTTATGTTTATTTATAAAAAAAAAATCGGATTGAGAGCAAGAGATGAATGTGTCATCTCATGAGTTTTGATCGGAAATTAAATCGCAATCATTGCGTGCGACACTAGCCGGACGAAACGAGAGTGTTGTGTATGTGTATTGTTAATTCCTTTGAGACATTGATCATATTGATGCCATATTGCAGTTCATTGTTGAAGAGAACTGTAGGAACTTGTCAAACATGAACGATGTATGCCATCGGCAAAAAAAAGCGACTCTCGCGGGGTGTGATTGCGCGATCGAGACATAAGTCACATTTGGCACGACAAAACGAAATCACCTAATCGATCAGAAATTTTCAATGTACATTGGAGACAATTGATGATCAATCTTATTAATGAGAAATATTTGATTTTTTGATCGTTAGAAGTTTTTTAGTTATATAATTTATTTTCTATTTGGAATTATTTTCTTAGACAAAACAACAACAACAAAAAAAAACTGTTCATTAAAACTTGAAAATGTTTGATTTGTGATGGAACTACGAAGATATTAGCTGTCAACTCTTGTTATCACATGATAACGAGGCGTGAAAAAATAGCTTTTATATCTTAAGAATAGAAGCGCTTCATCACAGTTAGTTTTAATCATCGACGACAATGATGACTGATCTTAATCAGTAAATAAGACAAAACATTCGATGAAGAATCTATCGAACATTGATTAGACGAGAATATCTATTCGTTTTTTTAATTTTTTAGTTAATTTGTATTATATACAATCTTGAGTAAAAGTCTTTTTTTCTTTCTTTCTGCATTGCCATATTTTGCATAAAGCTTTTTACAAAATGAAGGTATGACATGAATATTTTATTGAGTATAATATATCATCAGTATTTTCTTCAATTAAATACAGTAAGCTTCTTTAGATAATGTTGATCAGTGTTAAGGTTAATTTAGTTGGTAGAATTTTTATACTTCTTTTTTTGTACTTGTTGCCCCTTTATGATTGATTAGACATTTTGTATAAGATTTTATGAGGAAAAAAAACTTGAGTTTGATTAATAATAATAATAATAATAATAATAATGCTATACAACAGATACGAGATCTTTTTACTTGAAGATCTTTTTTTTTCTGTACAATGTATATGGAGACTATCATATTTTCACCTATTTCATTGTAAATATTCAATCATAGGATTTAATATAATCGAAATGTACTGGTGGTTCAAATAACGCATAGCAGGCATTTTTCTATAGATCAGGCTGATATGCGTTTGTTTTTAACTTAGAAAGATCACCGCGCGAAGTTGTTACTCTATATATACAAGGAAAAAAAAAATTTTATAAGAAGACTAATAAATTATACATCATTCAATGTTGATTCTAAATATGAAGTTAGTCTTCAATAAAAGTGTTTCTATAGCGAGAAAAGTAAGTTTTATATAGAAAACTTGTAGTTCAGACCTGGAACGTTCGCACTGACGATATATAGGTGTTATGGTCGGAGGAACATTCTTTGGAAGTTATCATATAATTTGAAATTATGCATAATTGCACGAACTCATTATACTGAACACATATTTCCGTAAAAGCACTTCATGTTAAACACAAAAGATTTTTCTCGAATCCTAAACAGATAAAAAGCAAAAGATTTTTATAAATCGATAGAGTGAAAAAACATAATTTTAGATTGTATATACTTAATTTTCTTAGAAGTGTTTTCTTCTTATGTTTTTAATTTGCAATATAAAAAAAAACTCCTAATCCTTATTAGTGGTATTTTTTGACGAGCTTTTCCGTCTAATGCTAACAAGAGAAACAGAGACCCTTGTGTCACTAAATAACCTATAGGTCAGAGTATATTGTTATCCTATTTAAATCACTAAAAACCTACACTTTCAACTTTCCAGTTAATGTCCATCTGGATGCTCACTACCTCATAGGGCCCAAAATTTTCGGATCTCGACTTGACTGAGTTCGAATTCGGGACCAACTCGATGGGCTCTAATATCTAGTGTGTTGGAAATGTTATCTTTCTCATCTAATCGTAGAAAATTTTTTTTTTTTCATTCTACTAGAAGAAAGTTATTTTGCCAGGGTTAAAAATCGCGGCACTTCCCTACTGTTGGCTGTTTCGGTTCATTATTGTCTAGTCCTTTATATTTTTACTACATGATTTCATTTGGAATATTTTATATATAAATACACATCAATCTTTTTTTTTTTAATACACTAAATGCTTTAACTAATAACTCAAATTTATTTTCTAAATTGAAACATTCATATAAAATAAATGATTGATTTTTTGTTTGAACCTTATTCATATACAAGCCGTTTTGTATCATCTGATGGTATGATAGAACAATATTTTCTATCATTTAATTATTTAATATCGTATAAATTATATTACGGATTTGACATTTTGAATAAATACACATATCAACACGTACAATATTCATAATCAAAAATGGGATAAAAAAACTGAAATCTTTGTATACGAAAAAAAAAACGCACACAGATTTTATCTCAAGAAAAAGCTTAATAGAAAATAGATGAAATTTATAAAAGGAAAACTTTGCGAGATATTCTGACATTATTAAAAAAGAAGCAATTTTCACTTTATATTAAAATTACAATCGTGTACATGTTACAGATGAAACACCATGAACAAACATAACTGGTGGTAAATTATTTGATATCATATCAAGAACTTGTATATAACGTTGAAAAAGTATTTTATCACATGGTGGTCGTGGTAAATATAAATACAGACATGATGTATTGTCAGACTGTTGTCGAATAAGTTCATTAATACCACGAATATACTCATCATTAATATCAATAAATTCCTTTGTTGATGTTGTTTGTTGTTGATCAACAGAAATAGTTGCTGCATTTTCATTTATTGTTGATGGATTATTTAAAAGACTTGTTACATTTTCCCAAGCAACCATTCGTGTTTGAGCATTAATACGAAGTTGACTTAATAATTCATCAAGATATTGTTGTATACGAAATGCATTATCATTTATAGCATCAATACAAAGAAAAACACGTAATATAGAATGTGTTTTCCATGGTTTTACCATTGAAAGTATTGTTGCTAATTGAAGCATATAAAGACATGTTACATCAAATTGTGTTGACATTTCCGGAAAAATAAAATTAACCTAAATAAATATAATTTTAATTCAATACAATTTGCATAAAAATTATTTATTTATTTATTTTTTGCTCATAATTTGCTTATTAATCTTAATATTTATGAAAAATATTCATCTTATTAATATTATAATGAAGAAAAAAAAACGTACCGGCCAAACATCAACGAATACTTTTCGTTTATTAGAATCAATATCATCTTTTCGTAAGAGAGAAAAATTTCGTGCTAAACAAACACTTTTATTAAGATAAAGTGTATCTTTAATAATTTGTACATAAGAATGAATATCGAGTATTTTTTTTTCATGTGCTCGACGTAATGCTAAGAAAAATAAAAGAACAAGAATTAATATAAAAAGACAAAAATTTTCAATCAAAGAAGTCATATTTATACTTGGAAAATGAAGTATTGAATTCATATCGTTATCATTTAGAGATGTTAAAGTATTAGTTGAATTTAATGTAATTGTACTATTAGTACTTTCCATATCATCCGATCTATTTGTTTGTTGTTGAAGGAATAATGTATTTATTAATCGATTCGATTTAAGCCAATGTCGTTTATAAAAAGAACGACTACGTAATTTATCTTCTGGAACAGTATCATCATAGAAACCAAGAATAACTGTATTTGGACGAAGACCACCTATAGGAAAGTTTTTTTAGATAGAAATTCAATTGTTTACGAAAAAATAAGATACCTAAACCCGATAATCTCACTAATTGTATTACACCATCACGGATAGTTGGTGCTGCTGTCATATCAACGAATGCTTTTATTTTCATACTGTCAATTAATGATACCCAATATTGATATTCTTGTGAACAAATATCATTTAGATTATTATTCGTGCGATCGATTTTAACATGACCTAATATAAAAAGTCCACCTTTTTTCATATCATTAACAAAATCAATTAAATTTATTGATGAACGTGGATTAGAAACAAGTAATAACATTTGTGGACGCCAAAATTTAACATGTTCTTTACGTGGATCAAGTAAAAGAAGATATTTTCGTACTTGATGAAAAATTAATGCTTGAGATATTGAACCCCATGAAGCACGTGGAAAATCTCTTAGATGTAACATTGCAATAAGACCAATTAATATTCCAATAGCAATTGAAGCAAATTCAGGTGATACAATAAAACACATTGTAATTGAACCAATAGCACCAATTAATGCTGTATGCCATGAAAAATATTTAAATGTTGGTCGAAAATTTGGTGCTGAAGCTAAATCAAGTGCCAAACATGATAAATTAACAGCAAAATAAGCAAGAAGAAAAAATATTGTTACTATTCGAGCTATCTTATTCATTGAACCAATAAATAAAGTTAACTAAAATAAAGAAATAAACCTTTGTATTTTTTGGTCAATATAATATACTTCAACAAGAATAAAAGTAAAAAATACGGCTGCCATTGGATTACCACGACGAGTTGTACCAACTCGAACCCAATGAAGTACTGATCCTAAATTTCACAAAAAAAACAATCTTATTAGAAATACTATAATTATCAAAAATTTTCTCTAATTTAAATAATATTTATTTTAATTTTCATGATTGAAAATGAGGAAAAACTAATTTAATACATACCAAATATTTCGTCAATAGATAATGCTTCTAATATTCTTGATGCACCAATTAATCCAGATAAACATGCAGAAAATACTGCAGATATTATTCCAATGATAACAAATGGTCGCCAAATATTAATATCTTGTAAAAATAAATAATTATTTAGTAAAGTATATCTAAAATAAAATAGATTATTTAACAAAAGAGATTAAATATTTTAACAAACCGATCAGTTGTTGCAGCTATAAGTAATGTTTCTGTAGTAAATATAAAAAAAACAAATAGAATTGCAGATACAGATCCAGTTGGTATACTTCGACTTGGTCGTTTTAATTCACCTAAAATATAAAAGATGAATACCAAAATTCACAGAAAATTTCAAAGTATTAGTAATGAAAGTGACTGACTCATTTCAATAAGCTACCATAGAAATATTAACGTTTTGGATCTTTATCTTTAGAAATTGCACGAGGGAAGTCTTCTCTAACTGATTGATTGTTTTTGAGTTGGGACTATATCCATCATGTAGACCATAATGACCTATCAATTCCTTGAAAAGCGTTTGGCTCTTACGAGGGAACTACTCTAACTAACACACGTCGTTTAAGTTTATATTGAACCAACACACAGGTCTCAGTGAGATTAGGAATATTCTAAAAGGATTTGTTTCCATGAGCTTTTATCGTTAGGTTATGGTCGGTTTACTGAATTCTCGATTCATTTATCGATAGTTTCCAAAAAAAACCAAATGGTAGATTTTCTATCTAAAATTTTGCCTACAGATAGGTCTAATGACTTGTAGAATATTCTCACAGTTTCAGCCAAAACTAGGTTATAAATCTAGTAAACTGGTTATAACTTGGCATCAAAGATCCATGAGTACGAATCCTTTTAGACTTTTGCTATTCTCACTGAGACCTGCCTGTAGGTTCGATATGAACTCAAACGGCGGGTATCACTTGGAGTAGTTCTCTCGATAGCTTGTTGTTGTGGAGATATTGTAACGATACGGTATTTTTTAACTAAATACTCTGGTTCTTCTCAAAAATACTGGCAAAACTCGTTTTCGAATTTCATCTTAAAACTTTGCATCGAAACAGATCTTAATGAAAATAGTTTATTGTGAAATTTTCAGATCTTAAACTTTTCAAGTCAAAAATGTTAAAAAAATGGAAAATTTCTTTTCTGATGGAATTATTACATCATTATTCCTTTCCTAATATTTCTATTCTTCAATTTGACAATCATACCATTGTGTTCAGAATTAAATTCTACATCCATCGGCATAAGAACAAAGGTATGATAGACCAAGTATCGCTTTAGAAAACATGGTTTTCCAAGATGCGTCTCAAAATATTGCTAGGTGTTAGTTTAACGCTTTTTTTTCTTCTGAACAACAGCAGCAGAACCTTGAAAAGATTGTGGAAGTAGAGAGCACGAAATTTTCTATCCACTGGTGCTCATCTTTCAAATTTTGCACCGACAAAGAAAAAGGTTTTTTGAAAAATAAAGACAGTGATTTTGTAGAGCAAGAAACTGTCTATCGAATTAGCTTAAAATAAAGTCTCTAATGTTGTTGGAAAGTACCCTAAAATGAGGAAAACATTTTGTCCTGTTTATTATACTTTATTTGTTACACCGACAAATTTGAAATTCTTATTTCCGGATAGGAACAAAGAAAAGATCTAAAACTCTCATAATAAACTACTCCCATTAAGATCTGTCTCTCTGTGTAAATTTTCAAGTCGAAATTCGAAAATCAGTTTTCCTGAGAAAGACTACGACATTTACTTAAAAAATTCCATAAAAATGTTGAGTCTCCGTAGCAATTAGCGGAGAGTCTAAATTCTTTTCAAAGAATTCATAGCTCACTAGGCTTCATCTGATGTACATGTGCTCGATTCAAAAGCAATTAATCAGTTGGGAAATTTCTTTCGTCAGTCAAATTTTGAAGGACCCACAAAAAAAACAATCTAATACAGTTTTTCTTGAAAACTATTCTATTATTTAAACATATAATTGTCATAATTGAAAGAATACAAATGCACGAAAAAGAATGAATTGTAATAGAAAATTTTCAAGAATTGATGTTAGCTAGCTCAAAATAAATTTCGAGATATCATCTGAACTACATCGAATATTTGTTTGTAGACAACTTTAACACTTATTATTTTAAAAGAATTTAAAATTATTTCAAAATTTCAATATGTCAATATTATTTTTTAAGATTAATTCAATAAATTTTATCAAATTCCTACCAGACATATTCGCTCCAGCTAATAAACCCGTTATACTCGAAAAGAGTACACCAAAAACAGTAGCAAAATTCATTGTATTACCAGTTGTATAATCAATTGTATAATTTGCAAAAAGATTTTCTCTCATTGTTTCTGAACTAAAACTTGTATAATGCCCATAAAGAAAATCTGTTTTATTATATAATAATTCTTCATTATTATAAGCATATGTATTTACTTTTGGTATTAAAACAAGATGTGGACCACAAATAAAAAATGAAACAACAACCATAAGATAAACAAAAGAAACAAGTATAAATATAAAAAATGCAGCCGCAGAAAATAATGATGAACCAAGTAAACATGTTATAAGACTAACTATATTAATTAATGTTCCATATAAAAGTCTCCACCAATGTGTTCCATGAAAAATATTTGCTTTGCCTAAAATTCATTTTTTTTCTTCTCGTTTTATTTTTATTTTTTTTTATATTAATTTTAAATATCTTACTTCCTGGTCCAAAACTTTCAACTAATGCTTCAACAAGTGCTGCTACACTTTGTCCATTACAAATAACATTTGCAAAAAAGAATAATACACCTATAGCACCACCAAATTCTGGTCCTAATGCACGTGATATCATATGATAAACACCACCACCTTCAATAGCACCATTTGTTGCCAATGCACAAACACTTAATAATGTAGAAAACAGTATTATAAAACAAACACTTAATTGTAATAATGTTTGTAAAACACCAGCATGTGCAAGAACAAAACCAATACGCATAAATATAGATATGGCAAACATAGATAAAGCAATAGGACAGAAAACACCTGGAATTGTATGTAAGGTACGTTTAGTATTATTATGTACGAATTCTGTATCATCTCCAGTTTTATCAATAGTTGATAGATTATTACTTTGATTAAATAGTTGTGAAGATGTTTCGGATTGTTGTTGATTATTTGTTGATAAATCAAAACGGTGATATGAAGACAAATTATGATCTAATATTGAAAATCCTTCTTGTTGAATTGCATCTGAATTTGTATCAGGACTTTTTAAGGAAAAAAATGTACGATGAAGTGATGATCCTACACGATTAAGATTATTCATCTAAAACAAAATTATTGTACGAATACTAATGAATAGGAGAAAAGTTGGTTGCATCACTATAGGATAAACAAAAAGGTGTGCGTGTGTATAAATAATTTTTCTTTCTTTTCGAACATAATGTATTTTGTTCTTTTATTCTCAAATGTCACCCTGAATGAGTGCATCCGTTGTTTGAAAATAAATGGTCACCTAATCTTTTTATCACTATATGCTTTTGATAGATGTCACCCGCTTTGGTTAGAGTTATGTTGAGTTTATTATTGAGTACTTCTATTGTTCATTGGTAATTTCTGAATGGAAAAGTATTCACTAGAAAGAAATTTCCCGTAAATGTCTGTAATATGATCAGTTTGATCGTTACGATGATTGCCAATAACATTTTAGTCTATCATCTCTTTTCTATTAGTTCTTCATACTCTATTGAAAATCTTTAAGTTGATATGCTACTAAGACGAGATATAAATGACTGCAGCTATAAATATTCTATAGAAGTGAATAGATAAAAATGTTTTTGGTAAAGATCGGAGACTTTTTAGTCACATTATAATGATTTTCATTATTAATCAAATTATTTCAGTTTAAAAACAATGCATGTCTCATTGAAGAATACAAACAAATGTACGTGGTTTACAAAAAAATTTGTTTTCGATTTTCTCTTTTTCTTCATATGGATACGTTTTAGCTTTATGTTCGAATGCGAGATGTTCTATTGTATTTCATCTCGGTTGAATTGAAGTTAGATACAAGCTTTTCTTATAACTTATAAAATCGTTATGACAAAGTCATTTTGTACTAAATGTAACAAAATAGTATTCAGAGAATAGTTATTCAAAAATTGAATTAACGAGAAAATTTTTCCAAGTATAAAATCGTGTTTCGACTGAGACGATGTTCATTTGATGAGTAATAGAAAAGTCTAGAATGGTTTGATTTTTCCGACCTCCATTCTCAAGATGAGTTTTTCAACAAAAAGTTGCGATCACGTGGACAATCAGCTTTCGAGTTTTGACATTGAACTTTGCATGAACAAAGTTCTCAATGAGATTAGTTCATTGGACAAGTTGTAACTTTTCTAGTATCTTTTATTCTGAAATATTCAATATTTGTAATTTTCTCATGTATTAAAGCAAATTTTGTTCATATATTGACATCTCTAGAAACGAAATACCAATTAGTTGTACAATTAATTAATCTCATTAAGAACTTTGTTTGCGCAAAGTTTGAAGTCGAAACTTGAAAGTGCATTTTCCATGTGATCTAAGACAGACGAAAAATCCAGTAAAATCATTTTGACACTGTGACGTTCCCAGTTGAGTTTAGTGTGTATCATTACCCACTCTCACTGCTTGGTTGAATTAACTGCTCATGCATGATGCTTAACCTTTCTTGCCCTTATCATTTCTTTTATATGCTCTGTCCTTCCTTTGTCATTTCTTTTTATTACATTCTTTGTCCTTCCTTTCATGATAACTACGTATCATTGACCATCTCTCTTGCCTTGACTCTTCTCCTTTCTTCTCTCTGCTGTTTGCGTATCTAAGAACACGTGCTGATGCATGTGAGTGTGCGATTTTGTGATATGAAGAAACGAATAAAGTATAACTTCACCCGGCTTAATACTTCTTCTATCAGAAAGTTGTTATAGACACCTGGAGAGATTCCATCGTAAGTTTAGCAGATGTCTATTTGAAATGCACATAATACAAGCATATTATTGACTGTTCACAATTCAATCGATTTTCTGTTTTCATAGTACGAAGACTCTAAAAAGAAGTCTAATATTATTATTTTGCTTTACACTTGTAAATTTCGTTAATAACAGGCAAAATTACATGTCGAAGAGTTATATGGTAGATAAAGATTCTCCAAAAAGCAGCATATATATTTTGTTTTGTATTTTGCATTTTTTTTTACTAATATCAGTAGAACTCATTTGTATCTTGATTTATTAAGATGATAAACAATTCAAGATTTTATTAAACATAGATAAAACAATTTCTTCGTGATTGTCTTTTAGATTATAGCAATTGTCATCGAATAATTTTTGAAGGCTAATGCGATAACCTAGTATTAGCTGAATATTCAAATAAGATCGTTATTATATCTACTATACTTATGAATAATCCTGATTAATACCTGATATTATCGAGTCTTTTTTATAAGTACTGAAAAAATAATGTGATCATCATGCTCTTTGTATGCAACGTAATTCAATGCAAATAGATCCTGAAAATAAAGAACAAAATATAACCGCTGTTGTTTATGTCAAAAACGATTGAAGACATTTATGTCTATCTATGTTGATGTGAAGGTCAAAATAACCATAGGAAATGTCTGTCATTTACATCATTAACTAGTTTTATTCATTTCACTTATAATTATACCATAATCTTTAACATTTGATTTCTCTTGATTTCATATTATTTTTGGATAAAGTAATTTTTTTCGTGTTAATATTTATTTACAATTAATTTTATATGATTTATCTATTGATAATCATATAAATTATTTTTTATGTAATGTTTAGTATGTTTTTTTTCACTATAACTTTTGTCTTAATTATACAAAATAATGATCGAATGATTAAATCTTGTTAGAAAATATATCGGTCTTTTTTAAATATTCAATTGTCTTAATTAATTCGAAACCCAACACTAGAAAAAAGATAATAAAGATCCATTTGTTTAGCATAAATATGATGTAGAATTCTATTCAGAGTACGAACTAAAACTGTTGCTCTCGAAATTATCAATTATGTAAACTCATCAACAGAAAACAATACAAAGAAATTTTTCTGTAACATTTTTCATTGATAAACAGTTTTGTTTAACATTACAGATGAATATTATCATTGATTTTAATCATATTAACTCTAACACGACCACCTTTAGGTGTTTCATTTGTTGTCTATCTGGGGTCCATGTTATGGAACTCAATTGATATAATAGATATAATATACAAAGAACAAACAGAAAAAAAAACAGTTAGTTCGAACTATATTCATCTAGTCTTTTTGCATGGTCTTATCATTCTCTATTTTCAAAGAATTTGAAATTATGTATCACTATTCAGTATTCACGTCTAGTATGAACTGCTCTACATAAGAAGAATAATTGCATATGATTGACTGATGTTATCAATACACTGTACTAACGTAAGAACTACCAGAATCGGTGTCCTTCATTTGAGCTTATATTAAGATCTCGGTAAACCCAGAAAAATCCTAAAAGGGTTTGTACTAATGGACCTCTGAAGTTAAGTTATGGCCAGTTTACTGGATTTTCGACCTATTTTAGGCACTTCCCGAAAAATCAAATAACTTAGTTTCGATTCCAAAGTTTTGCACATAGGTACGTACATTGATTCTTAGAATATCCTGAAAATTTCAGCCAAAAACAATATTTCTTTGTCGATTTATCAAATTTTTAAGTGAACTCAGTTTTTGTGATATGTCTGTGGAAATGAGCTTCTGTCAGAAATTCAGTATCTTGGTGAAAAAATATTCTTTACAGCTGAAACTTTCAGGATATTCTCAGAGTCATTAGACCTATATATAGACACAATTTTAGATCGAAACTTCGTGATTTAATTTTTCGAAAATTACCTACAAATGAATCGAAAATTCAGTAAATCGATCATAACTCGATGTCAAATGTTCAGGAAGATGAATTCCTTTAACCTTTTACTAGTCTCACTGAGATCTACACGTTGGTCCAGTATGAGCTCAAACAGCAGGTGTCACTTAGGGTAAGTCCCTCGTAAGTGTCCACAATGCATATTTAAAAAGACATGGTTTAATTAAATGTTACGAATGCATAATATGACAATAAATCTGACTATGCTTCAAGCGAATCTTAGGTAGTCAAAAATCATTTACACGTACTTCGGAATGGTCTATTCATATAAATAATAGTTGGGCATAACTGACAAATATTAACAACATATTCTACTAGTCTTTACTAGAATATATCTGGAAGATGAGCGATTTCATGTAATATTGTGTATTTATAACAGTGTAATGAAACTGTACGGACTCTACATGATTGTGTCAAGGTTAAGCTTCTATAAATATCAAAAGATAATATCAATTGAATTGACTTTCACACAATCATAGAAAATCATTCATCCATCGATAAAAAATATCTAATATAAATAATAGCTGTTTTATTATGTAAGAAATTTTTTCAAACATAAATATTTTATTACAATTTTATTTTCAAAATTTAAAACAAAAAAAACCAACTTGAATAAAATCTTTTTGATTACAGCACACAAATAAGAAAATAATTTCATCAAAACAGAATATGTATTTTTTTCTTAAAGAAATCAATTTTTCGACTGTTAATTATGAGCATCTTATTTGAGGATTAAAATGATTGTATCACAAAAAAAAAAAGAAATAGAAAATTTTCACTTGTCATTATTAACAATAATAATAACTAACGAATCTATCAGTAATAGAAAAGAAACAATAATATTTGAATTTTTAATTTATTCATTGTCCTACTATTTCACTTCCAGTTTCTGTATCTACTGAAGTTAAACCAACACTACTACGACGATGAAAATGTATTCTAGGTGACGATGTGTTTGAAATTTTCTTAACTTTTTCAGTTGTTGTTGTTATATTCTCAGAACATGGTATTGCATCACATTCGGTATCGTCTATTGTACATTGATTATTAAAAGCAACTGTATTATTGCCATCCGAAAGCTAAAAATAAAATGATTTTCAAATAAATAAATATATTTAAAAAGAAAAATAAGAAATTAACTAATGAAAATTCCGGTTGAATTGTAACATGATCAATATTATGTTGTTTAAATAATAAACAAATATCTTGAAATTTACTAAATATATCTTCTGTTGTATTAAAAACAACATGAATTGTTGCTAATGTTTTTTGTGGTGTTAAACGCCATACATGAAATTCATGAATTCTTGAAACACCTGGAATCTAAAAGCAAATGAAAACAAAAAAATATTTTTTTGTTTTGTTTTAATTTAATTAACAGACAGATGTCATAAGTGTCGTTTCAATTTCATCAGAGTTAAGATCATGTGGTTTAGCTTGTAAAACAAGATGCATTACATCTCGAACTATAGAAATACAAAACAAAAAAACGAATAATCAATAGAATTTATGATAAAATATAAAATAATAATTATATACTTGGCTCAAAAATCATGAATAGATATGAAAGAAAAAGAATACAACAAATAATTGGATCGACAAGACGACTGTATAGAACTCGAACATGATATTTTTCCGATAACATTATCAATAATATACCACATGCTAATATAGCTAAAGGACCAAGTAACATATTAAATACTTGAAGATAAGAATGATGTACAGGTAATGTATCTGTAATAAGCACTAGAACAAAAATCAATAAGAACTTTTTCATTTTTATGAAACACAATCTTAATCTCTCCACGCAATAGAAGACCCCTTTGTTAATTAGTTTTTTTGAAAAATTGAAACTTTAAATCGTGTATTTACATCAAAATATGCCTAGCTTTCATGGTTTTAAGTTGAATTTCTTAAAAGACTGAAGCCAACATTATTTCTGAGCTTTTGAAATGCTAAAAAATTTCTTCTCAAATCCTTAAAATCTTTTTGTTTATCTTAACAAATCTCTCTAATTAAAAATTATGAAAATAAGCGGGACACAACAGAAGATCCCTCTGAAAGCTTTGCATGCTTGAACATAATAGAAGACTCGGATTCTTCTATTACAAAGAGGAATTTAAAAGAGGAATGTTGAAGTGTATAGCGGGAAAATTTGCCTCCACTTTTCTTCCCCCGAAGACCCCAGCAGACGCTAGTCAAAGACCATCGCAGACCACTCTCTAAAACAAAGATCGCAGAAGGAATCATTTATTGTTTGTTTGTTTTATCTTGCACCCTGTTTTTTATGCTGAACTTGTTTTACAAAGATGGTTTAAGCGTAAGATAAATCATTTTTTGGGAACGACTTAAATCTGGAATAGCTTTACGTATTCAATAATAATAAGAAAAAGTAAGCAACAGACGTCACTTAATTCGTTAATGATAACGGTTAATCAGCCACTTAACCATCTAATGTAAGATCTAAATTTTTCCTCTCTTTTTTATTCCATTAGAAGTCTTTCAGTTGGAGAAGAAGTTTTATTCATTTAGGTACATTTCAATAAATAATTCAATGGCAAGTTTTCTCTTATAAAATAAGTTTTCGTTGCATTTTTTCAGGATCATGTGAACAGTAAAGAGTAACTTTTTGGAAGAGAGAAGAGAATGTATGCTGTTGTTCAACCTGCGGAAAGTTTGAGTGACTACAATTATAAACGACATCTTAGAGATTCGTTTCAAACTATCGTAGTACTCGATCTCGTGATCAAGAGATTCATTGAATTATTTCGCTTAGTTAGGTTTTCTAAAAAAAACCTTAATCATATCAACAGTACTCGACTTAATATATTAAATGTACTGGTTTTTTTTTCTTCGGATGGAGCCGGTTTTTTTTTTGAAGCGAGAAAAAAAGATTCGCAACAGAACCAGATTATGCTAAGATCTTACAGTAGTCGCAAGAAGTTCCGCTACCAGGTAAAAAGCATATAAAATTCAATCTTTTCATCTGATATTTTGACCACAAATAGAATTCAGTAAGCTTTGACTGTAAGCAGCAATCCGACATCGATAGACCTTAACGGAAAAGTTTTGCGATGAAAACTCTGGTTTTTATCTAGAGCTCGAAAAAGGCTTTTTTGACATTTTTCTAGTTTTCCACTGTTTAAATGCGTTAACCTACATTTTCATATTAACAAATAAAAATTCGTATGTCTATCTTGTATCACAGATAGGATACCCCAGTTCGCTGTAATCTCCGGACATAGGAAAGTCTCCATTGCCTCAAATAGTTTCAGCAAGGATCTCTTGTCCATGGATGGCCACGATCGTGAAATTTTCAAAAAAAAACTTGATTAAGGCAAGGTACTCATTACAGAAAATTTCAATATTAATGGCTAAAATCAACCGGAAATATAGATCACTTTTCGATGATTTTCATCAACTCTCATGTAGAGATTACCTAAAAATTACTTCACAAATTAGACAAACTAAAACCGATTGACATGGAATTTTTATTTAGTGATAGAGACAGCATTGAGCTATCGAATGAAGAGTCTAACATCATGAGATTCATTTTCTCTGTAGACATATCTTCATCTGAAGAAAAAAATTACGTTAACCTTCTAGCTCCTCCATGTGAAGGCCGATCAATTTCTTATTAGTTCTTTCGATCACGATTCAATATGCTCTATTTATGGTCAAACTATAAAACTAAAGGATTAAACTTTAGGTACTTTTTCCGACTACTATGAAAGATTCTTTCTGATTAGATTCATGGAAGATTAGGTAAGCGGACGGAGAAGAAATGCGCCCCAGAATAGATAGAATAAAATATTCTCCCTGGGAATACTCGGGTCAAAAAGTACGGTCCGTATACCTTCTTAACACTGGATGGAGAAATACGGCTGTGTTGCAACGAGATAACAACATATATAAGACAGTATACGGGGAAAAATGGTACCGTGTACAATGCCGTATTACTTTGGACACGATCAGAAGAAAATACAGTCTGTTTACTGCCGTAAAATTACCACTTTCTCACCGTTTATACGCGGAAAACGGTTCATAAACAATATCCGTTTTGATTAACATAAGTAGTAAGAGCATCTGCATTGTTTTTCACATTTTAATCCTACAGAGATTATGCTAATAGCTTTTTATTTTTGAAATAAATAAGATTTATAGAATAAATAATCATAATTCTTTCCTATAAAATAGACTTTAATACATACATGATTTCGACAATGATTTATTTGGTAATGATTGTTGAAGATTTACTTGTCTTTGTTTTAATTGTTTATTAAATTTCCTTGAGCGTTTTAGAATTTTATCTATAAAAATATTTTCATATTTTTATATTACAAATCCAATCTCACCCACAAAGTATTGCAATGCCTAATAAACAATTAGAAACAGTTGCATAAATACCAACAGCAAGTATAAAATTAGGATGATCAATCAAACTATGTACATGTTCTATATATAAAATTTTTTTGACTTTTTGTACAAAAAAAAAATTTTTTTTTTGCAAATAAAACTTACCATGTCCATGAGCAGTATGTAGTTTTGAACTATTACTTTCTTGTTTTGGTATTACAAAAATAACATCAATAATATGTTTGAGACTTTCAAGAAAAACCGAAACAGATAATGAAAGAAAACTAACAAAAGCAACTAATTCACCAACAACACCAACTTATTAATACAGCAAAAAAAAACAACAAATATATCTATTTATATGATAATAATTAATTAAGGAACAATTTACCTCGAGCTAGTCCATATGTATATCGAGGTGTATATGTAAATTGAATCTAAAAATATGTACAAACAAATCATAAACCAATTCTATTATAATTTTCTAACTTACTTGACGTGAAACAATTCGTACTGTACATAGAATAGCTTGACATAAATGAAAATAACCATCAAGTAGCATCACAACTTTTTTAAACAATAAACAAAAATGAAACGAATATATATTTTCTTCTTTTTTTCAAGAAAAGAAAAACTTTCACATACCACTATGACAAACATGATATCCTATAACTTCAAAAATAAACAAGCCAAGATTATTGGCTAACAAAGCAATGGCCAGAATCATAACAATATATTTGCAAACTTTTGGACAACTTTATGATGCTATCAATATTATAGATGACTGGGCATGTCTTGCCTTCGAATGTCTGTGGGTTGTATATACGACTGTCGATATAGTATCTATTTGCACGCAATTATGGTCCAAACCACGTTTTCTTTTCTCCTTTTGCTTCTTCTATGCTCTTTTACTATTTTTTTTCTTTTCTGTTCTTCATACTAAACTATGTTCTGTGTCAGAAACCAGTCATTCTCATCGTTTCTTTCTTCTTCTGTACTACGTTATGAAATATTATTTGATAGCGATATCATAAAGTAATATTTACTTATCATTATATATTATACAGAAAAAAAAAGACTATTACTTAACCATCCAAGCGTATACATTTCAATGTATACGTTTTTTTTTATATATATTCAATCGTTGTCTCTTTTTTTTTCAAAGTACAATATCTTAAAGATGCGCGAAAATAAACACCAATAACAAATAACAGGAAAAAAAGGTTATGCTAGAAAAACATACATATAGAGAAAAAAAAGGTGCAAGAAAGAAAATTTATCACACAACACATGACACGAAGTCCAGCTTCACAATAGAGTGGATCACCGGTACAGTGGAACAAAAAAAAACACGAACACAAACAATTGAACCATTCAACAGAGATATATAGACGAACATGAAATGCATCTCAAACACAAAGGAAAAAAATAACAATCAACAGAAATGCATAACTTTTTCTTTCAAACAACAAAAAAGAAAACACAAAAAAAAGAAAAAGAAAAAAAGAACAAAGTCAATCAGGATACACTAGCATTACGCATGAGAGGTTTATGTGCAAGTGCTTCAGTTAATGGTTGCTGACTATTAATACCAGTATGTGCTTTAGTCCAACATTTATCACAAAAATATTTCCAACAAGCAAGTGAACGACAAAAATATTTACCCAATTGAGTACATAATTGGCCATTTGCACCACTACATGTTTGAGCATCAACCAAATAAGGATCTAATTGAATCTATTTAAATAAGAAATTAATGTCAATATAAATCTTAAAGATTATTATATTTTCTTGATACAAACTGATGAATAGGTCAGTCGCGGCTATGAAAGTCTTAAATTTTAATGATAGGAACTAAGATATATTAAAAATTGTGCAGCAATTAGTAGCGATGACTTAACTAACTTTTAGATTCAACTTTTGTCATATACTCAAATAACTACTAAAAGAAGTTTTACTTTAAGAAATCGATCTTAGACCAAATGTATTCAAATCACATGAAATTTTCAGGATATGCTAGAACTATAGTCGGAAAAACTATGCTATAATTTGCAGCCTCATATCATGACGTTTTCGGAAAATACTCGACAAGCAAGAGTCGGAAATAGCTCATTTGTTCTCTATAGACGTCATTCTATAGCTTTAATTTTTTTTTATTTGAAAGAACATGCCAGACTGCAGTGCCTAGTCTTTTTAATATTTACTTTTTATGCGAAGAAAAAGTACGACAAGTTCAGTACTTTGCAAAACAGCCGTCTATTTATATAAGTAATTTTTTTATTTAATAATAAAAAAGTTTAATTCACAAAATGGACTCTGCAGCTGCACATACTCTTTCAAACAACAAAGGAAAAACGAGTTGCTAAATAAAGAATCATGTTGTTTATGAAAGATCAGATCTCAGGCTATATTTTCATCCATGTATTTATCTCAATTTCGATTTGTCTATTGACTACAAGAAACAAAACATATAATTCCTACCACTTTAGAAAATCGTTCACAATCAATAAATACATAATTAGCCTATTAAAAACAAATGTAAATATTCATTATTTTACTTTTTTTCTTTTGAAAATAAAAACAAACCGTCATAGCACTGAAATAACTGTGAATACTAGTAAAAATGACTCGACCAGAACCTGTTTAATAAGAAAAAAAAATTTAATCCAATAAAAACTCATTTATCCTACGCTTACCAATCGGATATTTATTACGATCAGTATCAATAGCCGCAAAATCAACTTCACCAAATAATTTCGAAAAAATTCGAGCAAGTGCGTATGCAGTCATCATACCTAAAATTGATCAAAAATAAACAAAAAAAAAGCAGATTTTGTTTATCTTTTATTTTTCATCATATACCATGCAAAGCTCCAACAAAGACAGTCGTCTTATATGGATCATCTTTGAGTAGTTCACACATTGCTGCATCATGTCGATTCGATGACATCCATTGTGCATCTTCCGTCTCAATAACAAAGAAAAAAACAAAATCTATTGGATTTAAATAAAATCATTTCAATACTTACAAACCATGGAATAAGTTGAATCTAAAATAAGAAAATGTCGAATATAAAATTTAATTTAAATATCAATATGTTCGATTTCAAAATATAGATATTCTATCTTTAAAAAACGGCTGATTTCACTGATGTCTACATTAGAGATATGCATGACTAAGTTGTTTTGGTCTCGGTGATATTATTTTTCTGGGTCTCCGTCTAGAGAAAACTATTGCAGAATTTATTCATATTATATCTAAAACAATTCTTCAATATTTGTTCTTTTGATTTATTTTGTTGACGACTAGCACTTTTTTGAACTATGTTATGATTGATGATCCATAAGATAATTCGTTTAAAACCATAGAATATTTAACTATAGTCTTTAATTCCAACAACTTTTCTTTTCTGTAGTCTCGTTAAACTTCGAAATTTTGATCTCGTACACCTCTAATCTACACATTTATCTTCTTAATCTATTCTGATCGAAATAGAATTTTTTTTTAAAAAGTTTATGAAGTTTTATTCGAACGAAAGATTAACTTACACTTTTACGTTTTGAAGCCGATCGTTGACTATTAAGATTAAGATAATATTCACAACGACCATCAGAATTACGTTGTGGTTGTTGACAACAAGCTAAAAGTAATTCATGTACAGATGATTCTTTATCAAATATAGCATAAGCATATCCAGATTTGCCTGAAAGAAAAAAGAAAAGAATCAATCACTTAGAAAATTTATTTCAATAAAATAAACCATGATTAGTTCGACGACGTGTTCGATTATTTTCAGCTGGCCATTCAATACGAACAGGGCCAAATTGACTAAGACGAGTTGCTAATTCACCTTAAAAGATAATTAAATATTTTAAATTAAAAAAAAACATTAATTAACAGAATTTATTCTTACGTTCATTAAGATCATGCGGAATACCACCGAGAAAAATTTTATTTGAAAGTGAAGGAGGATTAATTGAATAAGCACGTGGTTTAACAGGCAATGGTGCACACCAACACATATTTTGACTAACTTTACCAAAATGACCTAAACAATACACTATAAACAACAAAATATTTTCCTATAAATTCTTACGAGTAGCTTGTCGACGTTCATTTGCAGCAGCTAATTTTAATCGACTATCATCATTATCAATTGTGATACATTGCTAAAAAAAAAAAACCTATGTGTAAATTAAAATCAATAAAAAAATAAAACATTAAACCATTTGTTCTATTAAAGATGTTGGAGGAATAGTTTGATGTCTTTCTTGTAAATAATGATCATCTTCATATTGATCATCATCACCAGCATAACGTGCTGTAAAATCTTTACTCATTAAAAATTGAAGAAATTTTTCATCTGAACACATACTAAAGAAGAAAAAAATAATTAAATAATTCAAATAATTATCTTTAATAGAAATTACTTGAGAATAGGTGTTGATGCAAAATTTACTTGTGGCATTGACCATTGTGGTAAATTTGTTGTTCCATTCATCATCATCATTGATCGGTGTTGTTGTTGTTCATAATCATGATTATTTGATAAAGGATCATCAAGTAAATTCCCTAATGCAGTCGGTGTACTAAATGAACGATCAATTAATGGATAATTTCCTCCTATTGTAAAAGTCTAATTGAAAATAAATAATTTTAATAAATTTATTATGAGAATAAAAAATGACATGTTATACTTACATTTTCTTTTGAGATCATTGTAGTTATTTAGTTTATACACTCACACACACACACAGACAAATAGGCTAAAACTTAAAAGAAAAAGACAAAGTTCAACTAATAATCACGTCACTGAAAAAAAAGAGCTAATAAATAGTGAGACAAGAAAGAGAGGGAAAGAGAAAGGGTTGGACACGTTTATTCAAAAATGTATAATAATTTCTCTCGTCCATTTCGTTGCTAATATTTCGGATGGACAGACAGTAACGAAAAAAAAAGAAAGAGAGTAAGTAGACGTTACTTGTGTACATTGTTGCGTCGTCTAGATAGCTAGAGTTGTCTACTATCATCCCTGGAATTAAAAGAGAATAGAAAAGAGAAAATAGTAGAACAATATTATTTCGAAACTATAGTTAGCGGACGAGAGAAATTGATTCGAAAAAGAACGGGAAGTATATATGGTTAACAAAAAGAAAAAAAAAAAAATTTTAAATCGTCAGTTTCAATCTTTACAGTTGTTTAAAAATCACGTGTTTCGATAGAAAACATCAAGTAAACAACGTTTTTGTAGTCACACTTCTCAGTAATGAATGACGATGAGAATCATAGACTCTATTGACAATTTTTATTTCGAAGATTATCATAAACAAATTGAATAATTATATTCTAAAAGCTAATTTTAACATTTAATTTTCCGTTAAAATCATGCAAAGAGAAGACTATTGAGTTGATATACACCAGTTCTGATTACCCGGGTCATCTATGCATTTCTACTAAAGAGTTAGTTTCTTTTCAAATGGACATGAGTAAAAAAATCACTATTTAAAAATACAAAAGTTTTAAAATCTGTCATGCCAAAGTAAATAGTACACTTTCCAGAGTAAATGAAGCCATTAAAAACTGTTTGGCATTTTTAATTTAATAGGTTTCAATCGAAATACAACATTGACTAAATTACGAGTATCGTTCAAAAAGTCGCGAAATTGATTTTATTTAAAAATAACAAAAGTTTTACTGTATTAGTATGGTTGTCTGTGTACAGTTCA